TATCAGTGGAGGATCATGAATGGAGGAGACATGTTATCAGTGGAGGATCATGAATGGATGAGACATGTTATCAGTGGAGGATCATGAATGGAGGAGACATGTTATCAGTGGAGGATCATGAATGGAGGAGACATGTTATCAGTGGAGGATCATGAATGGAGGAGACATGTTATCAGTGGAGGATCATGAATGGAGGAGGCATGTTATTAGTGGAGGATCATGAATGGAGGAGACATGTTATCAGTGGAGGATCATGAATGGAGGAGACATGTTATCAGTGGAGGATCATGAATGGAGGAGGCATGTTATCAGTGGAGGATCATGAATGGAGGAGGCATGTTATCAGTGGAGGATCATGAATGGAGGAGACATGTTATCAGTGGAGGATCATGAATGGAGGAGGCATGTTATCAGTGGAGGATCATGAATGGAGGAGGCATGTTATCAGTGGAGGATCATGAATGGAGGAGGCATGTTATCAGGGAGGATCATGAATGGAGGAGGCATGTTATCAGTGGAGGATCATGAATGGAGGAGGCATGTTATCAGTGGAGGATCATGAATGGAGGAGGCATGTTATCATGGAGGATCATGAATGGAGGAGGCATGTTATCAGTGGAGGATCATGAATGGAGGAGGCATGTTATCAGTGGAGGATCATGAATGGAGGAGGCATGTTATCAGTGGAGGATCATGAATGGAGGAGGCATGTTATCAGTGGAGGATCATGAATGGAGGAGGCATGTTATCAGTGGAGGATCATGAATGGAGGAGGCATGTTATCAGTGGAGGATCATGAGTGGAGGAGACATGTTATCAGTGGAGGATCATGAATGGAGGAGGCATGTTATCAGTGGAGGATCATGAATGGAGGAGGCATGTTATCAGTGGAGGATCATGAATGGAGGAGGCATGTTATCAGTGGAGGATCATGAATGGAGGAGGCATGTTATCAGTGGAGGATCATGAGTGGAGGAGGCATATCATTAATGGAGGGACCATGAGTAGAGGAGGCAGATTATCATTGGAGGGACCATGAATGGAGGAAGCAGATTATCAATGGAGGGACCATGAGTGGAGGAAGCAGATTATCAATGGAGGGACCATGAGTGGAGGAAGCAGATTATCAATGGAGGGACCATGAGTGGGGAAGACATGTTATTAATGGGGGAATGACAAGCGTGTAGAGGCGGAAGGGCGGTGCTTCTAGTGGCGTGCTGGCGCCCGTTACCTGCCACCCCCGCCCACACCACACCGTCCCCGCCCGCACACCCTCCCCGCCCACACCACATCCATCCTGACCACACATCCACCCCGCCCACACACATCCTGCTCACACCACCCATGCCGCCCACACCACATCCTCCACGCCCACGCCACACCTATCCCGCCCACACCACACCCACTGCCCATACCACACCCCACCCACACCACACCCATCCTGCCCACACACCTTCCCAGGAAGCTTTGTATGTCACTGCTAAAAAATTATTCCAATAGAGTGTCTGTATTGATGCCATGTTGAGAATAATTTGAAGCTGTCCCCCATTCTCTCTCTCTCTCTCTCTCTCTCTCTCTCTCTCTCTCTCTCTCTCTCTCTCTCTCTCTCTCTCTCTCTCTCTCTCTCTCTCTCTCTCTCTCTTTTACACAGGGTTTGACAAGGTTAAGGATCCCTAGCTTTATTGACAAGCTATTTACAGGTTAAGGATTCCTAACTTTATTGGCAAGCTAAGAGCTGTTACCTACATCAGCTCATTTGAAAGCATTTTTATTGTTATGAGACATACAAGTAGGGAACAGGGTGAAGTTGGAGCCATCTGTGGGCCAGCATTTTCATTTGGTCAACTGACTATCTCGTTGACATCATTATGCTGTACGAATGTGTTCCATACTCGAGTCATCCTAGGTATGTATGATCTCAGATGAAGTGATGTTCTGGAGAAGCGTACAGTCAGAGTGAAGTTGCTGCTTTCTGCCCGTCTTGTGGCATAAAAGCTTGTTTCTCGCTGTCCTCGAAGTGGATCCAAGTGTGGTACTTTGACAATATTGGCCTTGTACATAACAGTAAGGCCACCCACATCCCTCCTGTGTTGAAGGCTCTGCTGAAATGACAGGTCTATCCAGGATGGGTCCATGCGAGAGATGAGACGTCTTGGTCTGTTCTCTACTCTATCAAGCAGTCGCAGATGAGAGGGGGCAGGCAAACCAAGAAAGTGGAGCATACTCAAGGTGTGAGCGTACTTGTGCCTCGTACAGAATCTTGCAACCCCTACTGTCAAGCAGATGCGAGATACGGCGAAGTGCTGTAAGCTTCCTGGCTGCCTTGTTTGCAAGATTTACAACATGGTTCTTCATGGTTAGTTTGGAGTCAAATTTCACCCCTAGGATATCAACTTCTTCTCCAGGTGCCAACACCCTCCCATTCATCCTTACTATTGCACCAGCATTACCATCATGGTGCCTAGAGACCATCATCATTTGCGTTTTCTCGGGTGCAAATGTTACTTGCCATCTATTTCCCCAAGCTGATATAGCTCTTAGCTGGTGATTGATGTAGCTTAGAGCAGCTGGCAATTCTTCTCTTGGATAAGTGAATGTCAGTGTACAGTCGTCTGCATATGCATGGGATTCTGGGATGAGATGAAGAAGGTCGTTGAAGTAGACATTTCATAACAATGGTCCCAGCACGCTTCCTTGTGGAACACTTGCCCCAATAGGATGTCTTGCTGATTCCGTTCCATTGAGAACTACACTTACAGATCTACCATGAAGGTAATCACTGAGGAGACAGCCTGCAATTCCCAGTGCTTGAAGTTTTGCTAAGAGGCCCTGGTGCCACACCCGGTCGAAAGCACCAGCAATATCCAGTGCTACCACACAGCTGACTTTGGATTCATCCAGTGACTGGTGCTACTTAGTGGAGAGGTTTAACAACAGATCAGCAGCAGAGTAACCTTTCCTGAAGCCATATTGACGATCACAAAGTAGTGAGTGGTAGTCAAAAAACTGTCATTTGTCTTGAGATTATTGTCTCAAGGATCTTACCAGTGATTGACAGGAGTGACACTGGTCTGTAGTTGCTGATTTCTGCTCTGCTCTTCTTTTTGTGAACAGGGACTACATTTGCCTCTTTTCACAGAGAGGGCCATTTACACTGTACTAGGCAGTGCTGAAAGATGCGAGTTAGAGGTGCTGCTAGCTGGTCTGCACATCTCAGCAATCTTGGGCTCAACTTGTCTGGGCCCACAGCCTTTTCTTGGTCAAGCGATTTAAGAAGGAAATGCACCTCCTCCTGCCTTATTGTCACTCTCTCTCTCTCTCTCTCTCTCTCTCTCTCTCTCTCTCTCTCTCTCTCTCTCTCTCTCCTCTCTCTCTCTCTCTCTCTCTCTCTCTCTCTCTCAAATTAAACTGCATTTTAAGTAAGAGATCTTAGGTTATAGCTTAAGAATATGCGGAGGTCCTGATTTGCACATAAGACCTCAGTGTACAAATAATGGAACAACACTGTATGGTACAGAACACAACACTATGGTACAGAACACAACACTATGGTACAGAACACAACACTACGGTACAGAACACCACAACACTGTATGGTACAGAACACACCACAACACTATGGTACAGAACACCACAACAACACTATATGGTACAGAACACAACACTGTATGGTACAGAACACCACAAGAACACTATGGTACAGAACACCACAACAACACTGTATGGTACAGAACACCACAACAACACTATGGTACAGAACGCCACAACAACACTGTATGGTACAGAACACCACAACAACACTGGTACAGAACACCACAACACTATGGTACAGAACACCACAACACTGTATGGTACAGAACACCACAACAACACTGTATGTAGAGTTGTGGATGAGTGGAACAAACTCCCGAGTAGAGTTATAGAGGCTAAAACGTTGTGTAGTTTTTAAAATAAGTTAGATAAATACATGAGTGGGTGTGAGTTGGACCTGACTAGCTTGTGTTACTAGGTCTGATGCCTTGCTTCTTCCTTAAGTGGAAGTGACCTGACTAGGTAGGTCATTGGGATAATCCTGGGAGAGGGACATGGACCTGCTTCGCATGGGTCAGTAGGCCTGCTGCGGTGTTCCTTCTTTCTTGTGTTCTTAGAACACCACAACACTGTATGGTACAGAGCACCACAGCACTATGGTACAGAACAGCACAACAACACTATGGTACAGAACACCACAACCCTGTATGGTACAGAACACCACAACACTGTATGGTACAGAACATCACAACACTATGGTACAGAACACCACAACCCTGTATGGTACAGAACACCACAACCCTGTATGGTACAGAACACCACAACACTGTATGGTACAGAACATCACAACACTATGGTACAGAACACCACAACAACACTGTATGGTACAGAACACCACAACCCTGTATGGTACAGAACATCACAACACTATGGTACAGAACACCACAACACTGTATGGTACAGAACACCACAACACTGTATGGTACAGAACACCACAACACTGTATGTTACAGAACATCACAACACTATGGTACAGAACACAACAACACTGTATGGTACAGGACACATTACTGTATGGTACAGAACACTATAACACTGTATGGTACAGAACACAGTACTGTATGATACAGAACACAATACTGTATAGTACAGAACACAACAACGACAACACTGTATGGTACAGAACACCATAACACTATGGTACAGAACACAACAACAATGTATGGTACAGAACACAACACTGTATGGTACAGAACACCATAACACTATGGTACAGAACACAATACTGTATGGTACAGAACACCATAACACTGTATGGTACAGAACACAACAACAACAACAACAATGTATGGTACAGAACACAACACTGTATGGTACAGAACACCATAATACTGTATGGTACAGAACACAATACTGTATAGTACAGAACACAACAACGACAACACTGTATGGTACATAACAACACTGACTTGTATACTGGCGAGGGTGACAGGCCCGGTGAGGTTGTTAAGGCTGAGGTTGAGTGCTAGGGGCTGACTGTCATGATGACCCTCATGCAGAAGGTCGTCTTGAAACTGGTCGTCCTGAAGGCTGTCATTGTCGTCTTCAGGTATGCTAGGTCCCTGTACCTCCAGGCCGTCCACTGCTCTCAGTCTGTTACCCGAGATGTCCTAGGAGGGCGAGAGAAACATATCCGCACGTTACTATGACCGTTTCATGCCAACATTCTATATTTGTACATGTATGGTATACAGTAGAGATAAGATGAAGAATTAGATACCTGTTGTACATGTGTTTAATTTTTAATCTAAATTTGCGTAACTATTCTGTATTTATGGCAGAATCAGTTCATTTTTTTTGTTTACCGAGAGAAACATTTTCTCGCTTGCACGTTTATAAGAATGATATTTAGTTATTTATACAGGCATGGGAAAAGAAACCAGCCAGTGGCAACTTGCTTAACTTAGATGTATGAGAGAGAGAGAGAAAGCGTATACAAACTATATCAAGAGGAGACAGGCGAAATACTTCGAGGCATACACAGTATACCTGGAGAGGGTTTCGGGGGTCAGCGTCCCCGCGGCCCGGTCTGTGACCAGGCCTCGCGGTTGATCAGGGTCTGATCAACCTGGCTGTTACTGCTGGCCGGAAGCAAACCGACGTACGAACCAAAGTCCCTCTGACTTTAGGTGCCTGTCCAGCGCCATCTTGAAGACAGCCAGGGGTTTAGTGATATTCCCCGTTACGTATACTGGGAAGCATGAACGTAAACCCAGGGCGAGCAAGACGAGGATGTCACAGGTATATCATGCTGCTATGTCTGAGGTGTTCACTTCTGTGAACCCTATTATTAAAGTGACCTGTCGCCCGACTCCCCTTTTCTACCTGCCCTCGCAACCCGTCTTCGCTCAGTGGGCAGGAGAGGTGTCAGGGTATCATGACACAGAGGCAGGAGGCAAAAGTTTTAATTTTTAACAGTGTATAAGGTCGTCATTTGAAGTTTGAAGTTTGTGTCAGAACACAGAGGCAAGAGACAAAGTGTCACAAGATAAAGTGGGTAGGAGGGGAGTCACAACACTGCGAATACGAGAGATTGTCACAGCACTGAGGGAAGGAGAGGTGTCACATCACAAAAGGCAGGAGAGGTGGTGTTACGACACAGAAGGCAGTGTCATATACAGAGAGGGTAGGAGAGATGGTGTCACAACACGCTGAGGACAGGATAGGTGGTGTCACAACACACTGAGGACAGGGTAAGTGGTGTCACAACACTGAGGACAGGATAAGTGGTGTCACAACAGTGAGAACAGGGTAAGTGGTGTCACAACATTGAGGACAGTATAAGTGGTGTCACAACACAGAACAGGGTAAGTGGTGTCACAACATTGAGGACAGTATAAGTGGTGTCACAACACAGTGAGAACAGGGTAAGTGGTGTCACAACACATTGAGGACAGTATAAGTGGTGTCACAACACAGTGAGAACAGGGTAAGTGGTGTCACAACATTGAGGACAGTATAAGTGGTGTCACAACACAGTGAGAACAGGGTAAGTGGTGTCACAACACAGTGAGAACAGGGTAAGTGGTGTCACAACACATTGAGGACAGTATAAGTGGTGTCACAACACACTGAGGACAGGATAAGTGGTGTTACAACACACTGAGGACAGGATAAGTGGTGTTACAACACACTGAGGACAGGATAAGTGGTGTTACAACACACTGAGGACAGGATAAGTGGTGTCACAACACACTGAGGACAGGATAAGTGGTGTCACAACACACTGAGGACAGGATAAGTGGTGTTACAACACACTGAGGACAGGATAAGTGGTGTCACAACACACTGAGGACAGGATAAGTGGCGTCACAACACACTGAGGACAGTATAAGTGGTGTCACAACACACTGAGGACAGTATAAGTGGTGTCACAACACACTGAGGAAAGGATAAGTGGTGTTACAACACACTGAGGACAGGATAAGTGGTGTCACAACACACTGAGGACAGGATAAGTGGCGTCACAACACACTGAGGACAGGATAAGTGGTGTCACAACACACTGAGGACAGGATAAGTGGCGTCACAACACACTGAGGACAGTATAAGTGGTGTCACAACACCTCAGGCTCACCAGTGTCCTCAGCTCCTCCATGGTGGTCAGTTCAGGGACGTCGGTGATGCGGTTATGGGCCAGTCTGAGGTGGGCGAGGGAGGGCAGGCCGCCCACGCCCGCGCCCACGCCCGTCAGCTGGTTGTACGACACGTCCAGCTCTACTAATCTGAAAGGGTAGATTACCACAAATTATGTTGGGTAGGTTCAGGTAGACCCATGTTGGGTAGGTTCAGGTAGACCCATGTTGGGTAGGTTCAGGTAGACCCATGTTGGGTAGGTTCAGGTAGACCCATGTTGGGTAGGTTCAGGTTGACCCATGTTGGGTAGGTTCAGGCAGACCCATGTTGGGTAGGTTCAGGTAGACCCATGTTGGGTAGGTTCAGGCAGACCCATGTTGGGTAGGTTCAGGCAGACCCATGTTGGGTAGGTTCAGGTAGACCCATGTTGGGTAGGTTCAGGAAGACCCATGTTGGGTAAGTTCAGGCAGACCCATGTTGGGTAGGTTCAGGCAGACCCATGTTGGGTAGGTTCAGGCAGACCCATGTTGGGTAGGTTCAGGTAGACCCATGTTGGGTAGGTTCAGGTAGACCCATGTTGGGTAGGTTCAGGTAACCCATGTTGGGTAGGTTCAGGCAGACCCATGTTGGGTAGGTTCAGGTAGACCCATGTTGGGTAGGTTCAGGTAGACCCATGTTGGGTAGGTTCAGGTAGACCCATGTTGGGTAGGTTCAGGTAGACCCATGTTGGGTAGGTTCAGGTAGACCCATGTTGGGTAGGTTCAGGTAGACCCATGTTGGGTAGGTTCAGGCAGACCCATGTTGGGTAGGTTCAGGCAGACCCATGTTGGGTAGGTTCAGGTAGACCCATGTTGGGTAGGTTCAGGTAGACCCATGTTGGGTAGGTTCAGGTAGACCCATGTTGGGTAGGTCAGGTAGACCCATGTTGGGTAGGTTCAGGTAGACCCATGTGGGTAGGTTCAGGTAGACCCATGTTGGGTAGGTTCAGGTATACCCATGTTGGGTAGGTTCAGGTAGACCCATGTTGGGTAGGTTCAGGTAGACCCATGTTGGGTAGGTTCAGGTAGACCCATGTTGGGTAGGTTCAGGTAGACCCATGTTGGGTAGGTTCAGGCAGACCCATGTTGGGTAGGTTCAGGTAGACCCATGTTGGGTAGGTTCAGGTAGACCCATGTTGGGTAGGTTCAGGTAGACCCATGTTGGGTAGGTTCAGGTAGACCCATGTTGGGTAGGTTCAGGTAGACCCATGTTGGGTAGGTTCAGGTAGACCCATGTTGGTAGGTTCAGGTAGACCAATGTTGGGTAGGTTCAGGTAGACCCATGTTGGGTAGGTTCAGGTAAAACCCATGTTGGGTAGGTTCAGGTAGACCCATGTTGGGTAGGTTCAGGTAGACCCATGTTGGGTAGGTTCAGGTAGACCCATGTTGGGTAAGTTCAGGCAGACCCATGTTGGGTAGGTTCAGGCAGACCCATGTTGGGTAAGTTCAGGTAGACCCATGTTGGGTAGGTTCAGGTAGACCCATGTTGGGTAGGTTCAGGTAGACCCATGTTGGGTAGGTTCAGGCAGACCCATGTTGGGTAGGTTCAGGTAGACCCATGTTGGGTAGGTTCAGGTAGACCCATGTTGGGTAGGTTCAGGTTGACCCATGTTGGGTAGGTTCAGGTAGACCCATGTTGGGTAGGTTCAGGTAGACCCATGTTGGGTAGGTTCAGGTTGACCCATGTTGGGTAGGTTCAGGTAGACCCATGTTGGGTATGTTCAGGTAGACCCATGTTGGGTAGGTTCAGGTTGACCCATGTTGGGTAGGTTCAGGTAGACCCATGTTGGGTAGGTTCAGGTAGACCCATGTTGGGTAAGTTCAGGCAGACCCATGTTGGGTAGGTTCAGGCAGACCCATGTTGGGTAGGTTCAGGTAGACCCATGTTGGGTAGGTTCAGGTAGACCCATGTTGGGTAGGTTCAGGTAGACCCATGTTGGGTAGGTTCAGGTAGACCCATGTTGGGTAGGTTCAGGTAGACCCATGTTGGGTAAGTTCAGGCAGACCCATGTTGGGTAGGTTCAGACAGACCCATGTTGGGTAGGTTCAGGTAGACCCATGTTGGGTAAGTTCAGGCAGACCCATGTTGGGTAGGTTCAGGTAGACCCATGTTGGGTAGGTTCAGGTAGACCCATGTTGGGTAAGTTCAGGCAGACCCATGTTGGGTAGGTTCAGGCAGACCCATGTTGGGTAGGTTCAGGTAGACCCATGTAGGGTAGGGTCAGGTAGACCCATGTTGGGTAGGTTCAGGTAGACCCATGTTGGGTAGGTTCAGGCAGACCCATGTTGGGTAGGTTCAGGTAGACCCATGTTGGGTAGGTTCAGGCAGACCCATGTTGGGTAGGTTCAGGTAGACCCATGTTGGGTAGGTTCAGGTAGACCCATGTTGGGTAGGTTCAGGTAGACCCATGTTGGGTAGGTTCAGGTAGACCCATGTTGGGTAGGTTCAGGCAGACCCATGTTGGGTAGGTTCAGGTAGACCCATGTTGGGTAGGTTCAGGTAGACCCATGTTGGGTAGGTTCAGGTAGACCCATGTTGGGTAGGTTCAGGTAGACCCATGTTGGGTAGGTTCAGGCAGACCCATGTTGGGTAGGTTCAGGTAGACCCATGTTGGGTAGGTTCAGGTAGACCCATGTTGGGTAGGTTCAGGTAGACCCATGTTGGGTAGGTTCAGGTAGACCCATGTTGGGTAGGTTCAGGCAGACCCATGTTGGGTAGGTTCAGGTAGACCCATGTTGGGTAGGTTCAGGTAGACCCATGTTGGTAGGTTCAGGCAGACCCATGTTGGGTAGGTTCAGGTAGACCCATGTTGGGTAGGTTCAGGTAGACCCATGTTGGGTAGGTTCAGGTAGACCCATGTTGGGTAGGTTCAGGTAGACCCATGTTGGGTAGGTTCAGGCAGACCCATGTTGGGTAGGTTCAGGTAGACCCATGTTGGGTAGGTTCAGGTAGACCCATGTTGGGTAGGTTCAGGTAGACCCATGTTGGTAGGTTCAGGTAGACCCATGTTGGGTAGGTTCAGGCAGACCCATGTTGGGTAGGTTCAGGCAGACCCATGTTGGGTAGGTTCAGGTAGACCCATGTTGGGTAGGTTCAGGTAGACCCATGTTGGGTAGGTTCAGGTAGACCCATGTTGGGTAGGTTCAGGCAGACCCATGTTGGTAGGTTCAGGTAGACCCATGTTGGGTAGGTTCAGGTAGACCCATGTTGGTAGGTTCAGGTAGACCCATGTTGGGTAGGTTCAGGCAGACCCATGTTGGGTAGGTTCAGGTAGACCCATGTTGGGTAGGTTCAGGTAGACCCATGTTGGGTAGGTTCAGGTAGACCCATGTTGGGTAGGTTCAGGTAGACCCATGTTGGGTAGGTTCAGGTAGACCCATGTTGGGTAGGTTCAGGCAGACCCATGTTGGGTAGGTTCAGGTAGACCCATGTTGGGTAGGTTCAGGTAGACCCATGTTGGGTAGGTTCAGGTAGACGCATGTTGGGTAGGTTCAGGCAGACCCATGTTGGGTAGGTTCAGGTAGACCCATGTTGGGTAGGTTCAGGCAGACCCATGTTGGGTAGGTTCAGGCAGACCCATGTTGGGTAGGTTCAGGTAGACCCATGTTGGGTAGGTTCAGGCAGACCCATGTTGGGTAGGTTCAGGTAGACCCATGTTGGGTAGGTTCAGGTAGACCCATGTTGGGTAGGTTCAGGCAGACCCATGTTGGGTAGGTTCAGGTAGACCCATGTTGGGTAGGTTCAGGCAGACCCATGTTGGGTAGGTTCAGGTAGACCCATGTTGGGTAGGTTCAGGCAGACCCATGTTGGGTAGGTTCAGGTAGACCCATGTTGGGTAGGTTCAGGTAGACCCATGTTGGGTAGGTTCAGGTAGACCCATGTTGGGTAGGTTCAGGTAGACCCATGTTGGGTAGGTTCAGGCAGACCCATGTTGGTAGGTTCAGGTAGACCCATGTTGGGTAGGTTCAGGTAGACCCATGTTGGGTAGGTTCAGGTAGACCCATGTTGGGTAGGTTCAGGTAGACCCATGTTGGGTAGGTTCAGGCAGACCCATGTTGGGTAGGTTCAGGCAGACCCATGTTGGGTAGGTTCAGGTAGACCCATGTTGGGTAGGTTCAGGTAGACCCATGTTGGGTAGGTTCAGGTAGACCCATGTTGGGTAGGTTCAGGTAGACCCATGTTGGGTAGGTTCAGGTAGACCCATGTTGGGTAGGTTCAGGTAGACCCATGTTGGGTAGGTTCAGGCAGACCCATGTTGGGTAGGTTCAGGTAGACCCATGTTGGTAGGTTCAGGTAGACCCATGTTGGGTAGGTTCAGGTAGACCCATGTTGGGTAGGTTCAGGTAGACCCATGTTGGGTAGGTTCAGGTAGACCCATGTTGGGTAGGTTCAGGTAGACCCATGTTGGGTAGGTTCAGGTAGACCCATGTTGGGTAGGTTCAGGTAGACCCATGTTGGGTAGGTTTAGGCAGACCCATGTTGGGTAGGTTCAGGTAGACCCATGTTGGGTAAGTTCAGGCAGACCCATGTTGGGTAGGTTCAGGTAGACCCATGTTGGGTAGGTTCAGGCAGACCCATGTTGGGTAGGTTCAGGTAGACCCATGTTGGGACAGGAAATAGAGATTAACATGATCTCGTTTAAATTAAATTTAGGTTTAACCTGAAGGGAGGGTGGCCAGGGTGGTGACGTACCTGGCCAAGGTGACCAGGGTGCTGACGTACCTGGCCAAGGTGACCAGGGTGCTGACGTACCTGGCCAAGGTGGCCAGGGTGGTGACGTACCTGGCCAAGGTGGCCAGGGTGCTGACGTACCTGGCCAAGGTGGCCAGGGTGGTGACGTACCTGGCCAAGGTGGCCAGGGTGCTGACGTACCTGGTCAAGGTGGCCAGGGTGGTGACGTACCTGGCCAAGGTGGCCAGGGTGGTGACGTACCTGGCCAAGGTGGCCAGGGTGCTGACGTACCTGGTCAAGGTGGCCAGGGTGCTGACGTACCTGGTCAAGGTGACCAGGGTGCTGACGTACCTGGCCAAGGTGGCCAGGGTGGTGACGTACCTGGCCAAGGTGACCAGGGCGGTGACGTACCTGGCCAAGGTGACCAGGGTGCTGACGTACCTGGTCAAGGTGGCCAGGGTGGTGACGTACCTGGCCAAGGTGGCCAGGGTGCTGACGTACCTGGCCAAGGTGACCAGGGTGCTGACGTATCTAGTGAGGGTGGCCAGGGTGGTGACGTACCTGCTGAGAGTGGCAAAGGTGACGAAACTAGTGAGGGTGGCCAGGACGGTGACGTACCTGGTGAGGGAGGCCAGGGTGGTGACGTACCTGGTGAAGGTGTCCAGGACGGTGACGTACCTGGTGAAGGTGGCCAGGACGGTGACGTACCTGGTGAGGATGGCCAGGGCGGTGACGTACCTAGTGAGGGTGACCAGGGTGGTGACGTACCTGATGAGAGTGTCCAGGGTGGTGACGTACCTGGTGAGGGTGGCCAGGACGGTGACGTACCTGGTGAGGGTGGCCAGGGTGATGACGTACCTGATGAGAGTGGCCAAGGTGACGAACCTAGTGAGGGTGGCTAGGACGGTGACGTACCTGGTGAGGGTGGCCAGGGCGTGGGGGAGGGCGTGAAGGAGGTTGTGCGCGAGGGAGAGGCGTGCGAGGGCCGGGAGCTTGAGTAGACACCCGGGGAACTCCTGCAGACGGTTACTGGCCAGCACCACCACCTAGAAGAATGCAAGTTAGAGAGCTACTCCTCTATAAGGTAATCAGGGAAGCTTGGGACTCCTCTATAAGGTGATCAGGGAAGCTTGGGACTCCTCTATAAGGTGATCAGGGAAGCTCGGGACTCCTCTATAAGGTGATCATGGAAGCTCGGGACTCCTCTATAAGGTGATCAGGGAAGCTCGGGACTCCTATATAAGGTGATCAGGGAAGCTTGGGACTCCTCTATAAGGTGATCAGGGAAGCTCGGGACTCCTCTATAAGGTGATCAGGGAAGCTCGAGACTCCTCTATAAGGTGATCAGGGAAGCTCGGGACTCCTCTATAAGGTGATCAGGGAAGCTCGGGACTCCTATATAAGGTGATCAGGGAAGCTCGAGACTCCTCTATAAGGTGATCAGGGAAGCTCGGGACTTCTCTATAAGGTGATCAGGGAAGCTCGAGACTCCTCTATAAGGTGATCAGGGAAGCTCGGGACTCCTCTATAAGGTGATCAGGGAAGCTCGGGACTCCTCTATAAGGTGATCAGGGAAGCTCGAGACTCCTCTATAAGGTGATCAGGGAAGCTCGAGACTCCTCCATAAGGTGATCAGGGAAGCTCGAGACTCCTCTATAAGGTGATCAGGGAAGCTCGGGACTCCTCTATAAGGTGATCAGGGAAGCTCGAGACTCCTATATAAGGTGATCAGGGAAGCTCGGGACTCCTCTATAAGGTGATCAGGGAAGCTCGAGACTCCTCTATAAGGTGATCAGGGAAGCTTGGGACTCCTCTATAAGGTGATCAGGGAAGCTCGAGACTCCTCTATAAGGCGATCAGGGAAGCTCGGGACTCCTCTATAAGGTGATCAGGGAAGCTCGAGACTCCTCTGTAAGGTGATCAGGGAAGCTCGAGACTCCTCTATAAGGTGATCAGGGAAGCTCGAGACTCCTCTATAAGGTGATCAGGGAAGCTCGAGACTCCTCTATAAGGTGATCAGGGAAGCTCGAGACTCCTCTATAAGGTGATCAGGGAAGCTCGGGACTCCTCTATAAGGTGATCAGGGAAGCTCGAGACTCCTCTATAAGGTGATCAGGGAAGCTCGAGACTCCTCTATAACGTGATCAGGGAAGCTCGAGACTCCTCTATAAGGTGATCAGGGAAGCTCGGGACTCCTCTATAAGGTGATCAGGGAAGCTCGAGACTCCTCTATAAGGTGATCAGGGAAGCTCGGGACTCCTCTATAAAGTGATCATGGAAGCTTGGGACTCCTCTGTAAGGTGATCAGGGAAGCTTGGGACTCCTATATAAGGTGATCAGGGAAGCTTGGGACTCCTCTATAAGGTGATCAGGGAAGCTTGGGACTCCTATATAAGGTGATCAGGGAAGCTTGGGACTCCTCTGTAAGGTGATCAGGGAAGCTCGGGACTCCTCTGTAAGGTGATCAGGAAAGCTCGGGACTCCTATATAAGGTAATCAGGGAAGCTTGGGACTCCTCTATAAGGTGATCAGGGAAGCTTGGGACTCCTATATAAGGTGATCAGGGAAGCTTGGGACTCCTCTGTAAGGTGATCAGGGAAGCTCGGGACTCCTCTATAAGGTGATCAGGGAAGCTCGGGACTCCTATATAAGGTGATCAGGGAAGCTTGGGACTCCTCTATAAGGTGATCAGGGAAGCTTGGGACTCCTATATAAGGTGATCAGGGAAGCTTGGGACTCCTCTGTAAGGTGATCAGGGAAGCTCGGGACTCCTCTATAAGGTGATCAGGGAAGCTCGGGACTCCTATATAAGGTGATCAGGGAAGCTTGGGACTCCTCTGTAAGGTGATCAGGGAAGTACGGGACTCCTATATAAGGTAATCAAGGAAGCTCGAGACTCCTCTGTAAGGTGATCAGGGAAGCTCGGGACTCCTATATAAGGTGATCAGGGAAGCTTGGGACTCCTCTATAAGGTGATCAGGGAAGCTCGGGACTCCTATATAAGGTGATCAGAGAAGCTTGGGACTCCTCTATAAGGTGATCAGGGAAGCTTGGGACTCCTATATAAGGTGATCATGGAAGCTTGGGACTCCTCTGTAAGGTGATCAGGGAAGCTCAGGACTCCTCTATAAGGTGATCAGGGAAGCTCGGGACTCCTATATAAGGTGATCAGGGAAGCTTGGGACTCCTCTGTAAGGTGATCAGGGAAGCTCGGGACTCCTATATAAGGTAATCAGGGAAGCTCGAGACTCCTCTGTAAGGTGATCAGGGAAGCTCGGGACTCCTCTATAAGGTGATCAGGGAAGCTCGGGACTCCTCTATAAAGTGATCATGGAAGCTTGGGACTCCTCTGTAAGGTGATCAGGGAAGCTTGGGACTCCTATATAAGGTGATCAGGGAAGCTTGGGACTCCTCTATAAGGTGATCAGGGAAGCTTGGGACTCCTATATAAGGTGATCAGGGAAGCTTGGGACTCCTCTGTAAGGTGATCAGGGAAGCTCGGGACTCCTCTGTAAGGTGATCAGGAAAGCTCGGGACTCCTATATAAGGTAATCAGGGAAGCTTGGGACTCCTCTATAAGGTGATCAGGGAAGCTTGGGACTCCTATATAAGGTGATCAGGGAAGCTTGGGACTCCTCTGTAAGGTGATCAGGGAAGCTCGGGACTCCTCTATAAGGTGATCAGGGAAGCTCGGGACTCCTATATAAGGTGATCAGGGAAGCTTGGGACTCCTCTATAAGGTGATCAGGGAAGCTTGGGACTCCTATATAAGGTGATCAGGGAAGCTTGGGACTCCTCTGTAAGGTGATCAGGGAAGCTCGGGACTCCTCTATAAGGTGATCAGGGAAGCTCGGGACTCCTATATAAGGTGATCAGGGAAGCTTGGGACTCCTCTGTAAGGTGATCAGGGAAGTACGGGACTCCTATATAAGGTAATCAAGGAAGCTCGAGACTCCTCTGTAAGGTGATCAGGGAAGCTCGGGACTCCTATATAAGGTGATCAGGGAAGCTTGGGACTCCTCTATAAGGTGATCAGGGAAGCTCGGGACTCCTATATAAGGTGATCAGGGAAGCTTGGGACTCCTCTATAAGGTGATCAGGGAAGCTTGGGACTCCTATATAAGGTGATCATGGAAGCTTGGGACTCCTCTGTAAGGTGATCAGGGAAGCTCAGGACTCCTCTATAAGGTGATCAGGGAAGCTCGGGACTCCTATATAAGGTGATCAGGGAAGCTTGGGACTCCTCTGTAAGGTGATCAGGGAAGCTCGGGACTCCTATATAAGGTAATCAGGGAAGCTCGAGACTCCTCTGTAAGGTGATCAGGGAAGCTCGGGACTCCTATATAAGGTGATCAGGGAAGCTTGGGACTCCTCTATAAGGTGATCAGGGAAGCTTGGGACTCCTATATAAGGTGATCAGGGAAGCTTGGGACTCCTCTGTAAGGTGATCAGGGAAGCTTGGGACTCCTCTATAAGGTGATCAGGAAAGCTCGGGACTCCTATATAAGGTGATCAGGGAAGCTTGGGACTCCTCTATAAGGTGATCAGGGAAGCTTGGGACTCCTGTATAAGGCGATCAGGGAAGCTTGGGACTCCTCTGTAAGGTGATCAGGGAAGCTCGGGACTCCTCTATAAGGTGATCAGGGAAGCTCGGGACTCCTATATAAGGTGATCAGGGAAGCTTGGGACTCCTCTGTAAGGTGATCAGGGAAGTTCGGGACTCCTATATAAGGTAATCAGGGAAGCTCGAGACTCCTCTGTAAGGTGATCACGGAAGCTCGGGACTCCTATATAAGGTGATCAGGGAAGCTTGGGACTCCTCTATAAGGTGATCAGGGAAGCTCGGGACTCCTATATAAGGTGATCAGGGAAGCTTGGGACTCCTCTGTAAGGTGATCAGGGAAGCTTGGGACTCCTCTGTAAGGTGATCAGGGAAGCTCGGGACTCCTCTATAAGGTGATCAAGGAAGCTCGGGACTCCTATATAAGGTGATCAGGGAAGCTTGGGACTCCTCTGTAAGGTGATCAGGGAAGGTCGGGACTCCTATGTAAGGTAATCAGGGAAGCTCGAGACTCCTCTGTAAGGTGATCAGGGAAGCTCGGGACTCCTATATAAGGTGATCAGGGAAGCTTGGGACTTTTCTATAAGGTGATCAGGGAAGCTTGGGACTCCTATATAAGGTGATCAGGGAAGCTTGGGACTCCTCTGTAAGGTGATCAGGGAAGCTCGGGACTCCTCTATAAGGTGATCAGGGAAGCTCTGGACTCCTATATAAGTGATCAGGGAAGCTTGGGACTCCTCTATAAGGTGATCAGGGAAGCTCGGGACTCCTCTATAAGGTGATCAGGGAAGCTCGGGACTCCTCTATAAGGTGATCAGGGAAGCTCGGGACTCCTCTATAAGGTGATCAGGGAAGCTCGGGACTCCTCTATAAGGTGATCAGGGAAGCTTGGATTTATATGGTTATCAATGCAGATTGAATCTTCTGTGTGTACGGTGATCATGTTAACAATTATTTTGACTGGCAGGCCACATGACCAACATATGTTGCTTATATGTGCTACGCAAGCCACACACTCGCCGACGCAAAACAATTATTATACGTAAGGGGAAGCGGTAAACCCATAGGAAAATTGGGAGGTGATCACGTTCGATTGAAGGAGGAGGAGAATGTAAAATTATAAGTGGTCAGAGTCATGTCTTTCATCATTCTGAAATAGAAACGTTTTGGTTTTGCTTTTAGTCCATGATGACACTCTTCAGGTCACTTGTTCTATCTAGGCTGGAATATTGCTGCACACTAACACCACCTTTCAAGGCAGGTGAAATTGCTGACCTAGAAAATGTACAGAGAACCTTCACGGCGCGCATAACTGCGATAAAATACCTCAATTACTGGGAACGCTTGAAGTTCCTAAACCTGTACTCCCTGGAACGCAGGCGGGAGAGATACATGATTATATACACCTGGAAAATCCTAGAGGGACTAGTACCGAACTTGCACACGAAAATCACTCACTAAAAAAGCAAAAGACTTGGCAGACGATGCAACATCCCCCCAATGAAAAGCAGGGGTGTCACTAGCACGTTAAGAGACTATATAATAAGTGTCAGGGGCCCGAGACTGTTCAACTGCCTCTCAGCATACATAAGGGGGATTACCAATAGACCCCTGGCAGTCTTCAAGCTGGCACTGGACAAGCACCTAAAGTCGGTACCTGACCAGCCGGGCTGTGGCTCGTACGTTGGTTTGCGTGCAGCCAGCAGTAACAGCCTGGTTGATCAGGCTCTGATCCACCAGGAGGCCTGGTCACAGACCGGGCCGCGGGGGCGTTGACCCCCGGAATTCTCTCCAGGTAAACTCCAGTCTCACTTTTAGTACGCAGACACGCACTCGTCCGAGATTTATCTAAAAGAGTTTCCAGATCTTCCTGCTCTGAATGACCAACACTGGAGGCACTATTAAATTTTCCTTAATTGCTTGAAATAGTGATGGGCCGGACAGCATTCCTTGGCGCACAAGACATGGTCCCTGGGCCGTGTCTTGCTCACCCTTGTTCCAGAGTGATCAAGTCAGAATTGAATCACCTTCTCAGGTTATTTGGTTGAGACTGAAACTGGGACTATTTGGTGATCTGGGAAGCCTTGAGCAAATCTGCAAGTATTAAAGGATAACATAGGTGACACAGCATGTTTTATATATGAAAATGAGGGAGAGACTTATAGTATTGAGCTGCTTTGTATGTGTAGAAAGCACATTGTCCATAAGACGTTTGAAATTCACCAACACTTAAGAAGTCCTCTACGTTATATAGCCTATACTTCCTCAGAAAAAAAATAATAGGCAAAACATATGTAGCTGAAGTATGAGTACGAGCAAAATTGAGCCAATTTCAAATAAAAAAAAAACAGTAATCCGGGAAACTGTCAGTAAAGAGTATGGCAGACGTGCAAGTTGGGGGAAATAACGTGTTCGACTGCATCGTTACTATATTACCCCCAGGCCACTCTGACCACAGCCGTTAGTATAATTATTAACTACATTGAGTACAGAATTTAGTTTCGCAATTTTATGAATATTTTAGAAAAAAGTTCACGAAATAGAAACAGGATAATATGACGGATTTTTGGAGGATGGGCCAGAATTATAGCTTTGAGTGCCGAAAACTAAATATAAAGAAATATGTGTTCCGTAACTAGAGGTAGAGAGTTACTGAATGAAAAATAATAAATTTAGATCTATTTTACATACTTATGGCTTCCTAATTCATCACGTAGGGCAGGATACAGAGTCAGATCAGATATTCACTCGGGTATAAACTCGAAAATGCAACCTTTCGTAAGATAAAATAAGTTCTTCAAATAATTTATTTTTTCAAAGTGCTCCCGAGGTCACTGCTTTCATTGAGCAATGTAAGAGATTTTCTAGATTTTTTATGGTTGTGGCAAGCAGCAAGTTATCCTAAACAAAACTTCACTGAAAATGTAAACAAAGTACTTACATTAATAATATGTTTAGATACAGTTTCAGTTTTGTTTTGTTTAAAACTACTTCTGCCTGTCTCTCCAGTATGCGAACACTGCAGAGAAAAAATAGCATTCCTAACCTAACATAATCTTACCTAACCAACCAGTGAACCAAACAGTGGCTAAGTAAAGGGTAAGATACTCAAAACACACTACTTCATCTATAATGACGTTATGATGAGTATTGCAAGTGTTCATCCTGCCACTCTACTCACAGTAACTGCTGCTGTGCTCTCTCACTTCCTCCAGGAGCTGTTGTTCACGTATTGAACACTATACTAAAGCAAGAGGCCTTTACTAGCTCTAGTTACGAAATACTTTAAATAAGGCAATAAGAACCTAATATTTAATTTTTAGTGAATATCCCAATCATATTTTATATAATCTTAAATACGCATGAGGTAGCAGCAGCAACTTAAGTACCTACCATCTTTTACTTTCACGTGAGAGACAGGTTTCCAATATGCACTAATCACAAACATGACTTTCCCTCGGAACTTTTTTTTTTTGGTTCTAAGGAAATATAAAATATATATATAGCTCCTCAATCCTTACATTCACAAGAATTATTAGTACACTAATAGCACAGGAGGCCTGGTCACAGACCGGGCCGCGGGGGCGTTGACCTCCGGAACTCTCTCCAGGTAAACATGTTAAAATGTATGTTGCAACTGTAATTATAGTGATAAGACTGCGGCTGTGTACTGACCTGCAGCTGCTGGAAGTGCTTGAGGTGATGAAGTGCACCAAGAGTCCTGGATGTTACGGTCCTCACTCCACCCTCAATCTCCACACTCTCACTCTCGCTCCCGCTCTCACTCTCCTCGACACCTGAAGAACTGCTGCTCTCTTCATGTCTAGCTCTCACTCCTTCCTCACTCTTGTGTCTCTCTCGTTCCCTCACTGTACTCTCCACTACATCCTTGAGTGAAGGCTTCTTCAAGGCTATCTGAGGTGTATTAGCATCAATAGTGAGTGTTTTATATGTGAAAGGCACACCCTCCTCGCTTTTCCCTACAAGAAGTCTCTCGGTTATTGCCTTACGAAATCGTAATCTAGCTTCGAGTTCTTCTGCGAGACTTCCAAACACAGGACTCTGTTTTGTTTCTGGGTGAGCAGTTTTATCTGTCTGAAAGCCAGACTTGGTAGTCCCTGATTCTGTGGCTGGCTCACTCCTGAGGACCTCGTCTTCTATTGGGTCAGAGGGCACTCCAGAATCACCACTTAGTACCTCATCTTCGCCTAGTTGCCGGAGGCTATCATTCGCTTGCTGCTGCCCTCCACCACCGGAGGGCTCCCGGGGCTCAGGGTGAGCCTGGCGGCGGAGTCGATCCCTTCTTCTCCTGCCACGACCCACCTGACGCTTCTTTGAGGTGGTAGTTGAGGAAGTTGGGTTAAGTAGATTGTGGGAGAGATTTATGCTGATCAGATGGAGGCTAGAGAAGAGGGCGGTGGGCAGGCGCTCTAGATGTCTGCCGGAGAGGTCAACTTCAGCCCGCCTCAGAATCTCTCCTTCCGCTGCTCCTCCTGCAGGCTGGTGGGGATACAATGACGTTATGAGAAACTAGGTTGAGAACACATTATTTCAGTTAGACAGGCTAAATATATATTTTCTTTCTGAATATTATTATATTTGGAAGCCATTAATTATCACATTCACACACACATATGCATCACTGACATGTATAGTATGCAGTCATGGAGAATATTACCAGGAGAAGAGTGATGGAGCACCTAGAAAGGAATGGGATTATACATGATAATCAGCACGATTTCAGGGAAGGGAAATCGTGTGTCACAAACCTTCTGGAGTTTTACGACAAGGTGACAGAAATAAGACGAGAAAGAGAGAGAGAGTGGTGAGTAGCTTGCCTTTTCATGGACTGTAAGAAAGTTTTCGACACAGTTAAACACAAGAGATTAGTGCAAAAGCTAGAAGAGCAGGCAGGAATAACACGAAAGGCACTGCAGTGAATCAGAGAATCCCTGACAGGAAGGAAACAAGAGTGACAGTACGTGACGAGGTGTCAGAGTGGGCGCATGTGACGAGTGGGGTTCCAAAGGGGTCAGTCCTAAGGCCGGTACTGTTTCTGGTATATGTGAATGACATGACAGAAGGAATAGATTTAGAGGTATCCCTGTTTGCAGACGAAGTGAAACTGATACGAAGAATTCAAATGAATGAGGATCAGACAGAACTAAAAAGGGATCTGGAGAGGCTGCAAGCCTGGTTCAGCAACTGGCTTCTGGAGTTTAACCCCACCAATTGCAAAGCCATGAAGATTGAGGAAGGTCAAAGAAGACCGCAGACAGAGTACAGGCTAGGGGGAACCAAAAAAAGCAAATCTCACACAAAGAAAGGGATCTTGGGGTGAATATAATTACGAGCACATATCCGGAGGTGCACATCAACCAAATAACAGCTGAAGCACACAGGTGCCTAGCAAACCTAAGAATAGCGCTTGGACACCTTAGTAAGAAACCGTTCAAGACCCTGTCCACCGTGTACGTCAGGCCATATTGGAATATGCAGCACCAGTATAGACCCTACACCTGGTGAAGCACGTCAAGAAATTAGAGAAAATGCAAAGGTTTGCAAGAAGACTAGTTCCAGAGCTAATGCTTATGTGCTATGAGGAGAGGTAAAGGACGATCAAACTGACCACACTGGAGACAGGAGGGATAGGGAGGACATGATAACGACATATAAAATACTGAGAATTGACAAGGTGGATATAGACAATGTTTCAGAGATGGGATACAGCAACATGAAGTCGCAACTGGAATTTGAAAACTCAGATTAGTTACAGGGATGTTAGGAAGCATTTCTTCAGTCACAGGGTTGTCAGGAAATGGAATAATCTGGAGAGTGACATAGTTTAGGCAGAATCCATACATAACTTTAAGAAGAAATACGAAAATTCTCATGGAGCAGGTAGAGTGGACCTAGTAGCGACTAGCGAGAAGGCGGGGCCAGGACCTGTGAATCGACCCTTGCAACCACAAATAAGTGAGTACAAACATGTAAGTATACACACACATATGCAGAACAAGCCACGTGAGATAGAAATCTTTAGCTCAAGATCTTTCGCACTCTGTACATCGCCTGGAGCTATGCAATGTTGCAAGGCTAGCAATAGATATTGAGGAAAAATTCTGTCCCAGTTTGGTGTGTGAGTGCCCTCCGCGCCTCAACCACCCCCACCCGTCCCCTGTCTCCCATTACAGGGAGGAGAGATAGGAGCCTCACAAGTTTACAAATAGCTAGGTAAGTTTATTCGGGTATACAGAGTTACAGTGATTATCATACATAGCAGCATATGTGTAAAAACCTAGGGTAACCCAAAAAAGTTAGAATGATTTATTTCCATTGGGGGCCTTGTGATAATTATTATTTATATTTAAAAGTTAAAAACAGGTAAGTATCTTAACTTTATAAAAGCAGTTACAATAAAAGAAGATATGCTCGGGGAGAGGTAAAGCTGGTTATTTTCATACAAGAAATCACTCTCTTCCTATTCTGCAGCCTTATTCACGAGGTACATTTTGGCTCTTCTTGAACTGGCTCATGCTATGACAGGCTTTAACATATAATAATAATAATATCTTTATTTATTGCAAGTACATGCACATGGTATACAGGCCTAGCTGACATCAATGATATACTACTAGTATATAGAAAGCCCCCTTGTTATGCTGAACATTTCGGGAAATTAGGTCAGTGTCCCAGGATGTGACCCACACTAGTCGACTAACACCCAGGTATCCATTTTACTGATGGGGAACATAGACAACCGGTAGAAAGAAACACGCCCAGTGTTTCTACTCTGGCTGTTGGTTAAAGCGAGAGCTTTAACCAACAGCCAGAGAGCTTTAACCAACAGCCAGAGAGCTTTAACCAACAGCCAGAGAGTTTTAACCAACAGCGAGAGCTTTAACCAACAGGCCACCAGAGCCTATGCAGGCAGTCTATTCCACTCTTTTATTGCAGTACAGAAAAATGCCTTTGACTGTAGGTACTGCAAAGTACCTACAGTCAGTAATTTAGCTTGAGTTTATTTACTCTGTTTTCAACATTCAGCATGTCCAGTTGTTGTAATTCATTCATTCTGGCAAACATGCTCTCTTGGACCCAGGTCCAGAATGAATCTCACCATTTTGTTCTGGGTGATTTGTAGCCTATCTTTCATTTTTTTTTGTTTGTTAAGGCAGAGTACCATGAAAAGCAAGAGTATTGTATAATACATTGTATGAGTGCTAGACATGGGTCCTGTGAGCTTCAGTAGGTACACACTGAGCCTACGGAATAATAAGGAATAGCAGTAGTCAGCTCAAAAGCGCATTTTAATCGACATCATCTAACCTAGTGACGCATGGAATCATTTTATCTGAGTAGTAAATGCGTCCACATACTCAGGCTTTATGTAACTTTAGATATTAAACGAATGAGATGTGTAGTGTGTGTCACCCTATACGTACGAGAATGTTCCAGAAGGTGCTGTCTACAAAGATCCCTACATATGTACCTACCCTGCTCCAAAATCATTGCAATGTTTCATAATCCCAGGACCCCAGAGGCGATAAGTCTATCTGCCCGACCTCCCTAGACTATTCTAGGAAACTCACATATATGTTATCCTAGGAAACTCGCACATATGTTACTATCTATATTGCATAAACCTGCGTAACTCCACTCGTATGCAGGGTCTAAATAGACTAACTACTACCATTAACTACTTATTACAATATACCTGGAGAGAGTTTACCTGGAGAGAGTTTCGGGGGTCAACGCCCCCGCGGCCCGGTCTGTGACCAGGCCTCCTGGTGGATCAGCGCCTGATCAACCAGGCTGTTGCTGCTGGCTGCACGCAAACCAACGTACGAGCCACAGCCCGGCTGATCAGGAACTGACTTTAGGTGCTTGTCCAGTGCCAGCTTGAAGACTGCCAGGGGTCTGTTGGTAATCAAAATAGTACTACTATCTTCCTATTATAGTATTACATCAAACCAGTATCAGAAATATTTGTTTAGAAATGACAGGAGCATATTCTCACCTCCACCAACCTAGGGGAGATAGTGCACTTTCTTGAAAAGACCATATATGGTGATACGGACAGCGAGTGTAAAACAGTCTATCACAGTTTACCCTCAAAACGGAAACCGAGAAACTGAACACTAACACTGGTTTACTCACCAACCTACGGGGATGTTGATTTTAAACCTCCCCGACATACCCTATTTTCGACACAGACGGGTGGGATCTCAGAAGGGCAAAACGTGAAGAACAGGTGTGGAGAACACTGGTCTAACATCACCCAAGCCTCACGTGGACTTGTTACATAATGTTCACTCAGAGGATTTTGTATAGCATCCTTGCTTAAGATTGTGCATAATTGACTCTACTAGTTAGCTGTCGAGTTTGTACATTCCATCATTTGAATTATATAAGGCATTCCTATCATGTTTGATGAGAGGATTCAGTTATGTTCCTTTCCATAACAAAACTATTGGGTACAATGACCTGAGCTGCTGCCCACCCCGGTAGATGACTGCAAGTACTAATGTGATTAAAGATTGCATTTGACTCCTGATCTTTACCCAGTACTGACGTTGGGCTAATCTAATTTCAAGTTGTTTACCTGTCTGCCCGACATATGACAGAGAGCAGAGTGTGCATGGGACCTTGTAAACAATGCCAACAATGTTGGATGGTGCATTCTTAATCAACTTTAGCTTCACTGTTCCGATGTTCTATATTGAGGTTTTTTAATGCACCACTCAGGCTGGCCATATTCTCACTGTAAGGCAGAACCATTATATTTTTCCTGGGAGGTACTTCCCTAGGTTCAGTCCTGTATGAAGTCTTCTTGGCTGCCAATAACGTCTTCTCAACAAAATCCCAAGGAATAATAATAATCTGTAAGGTCAACATTATTTTTAATATGAGCATCTGAATTCTTTCCACCCATGGGAGTTAGCTATTTGACTAGCCTTTTGGATAGGTTGTATACAGTCAAGCCTATTGAACTTATAGGACGGGCTGGCGTCCCTGGTTTATGGGTCTTAATTAATCCATAAAGATACGGTAGAGTTGCTAGCCTTACAATATTGCATATCTCCTGACGACGCACAGAGTGCGAAAGATCTTGAGTTAAAGATTCCATCCCCATGTGGCTTGTTCTGCATTGTTAAGATAGCCTGTTTGAGTGTATTGCACACACACACACGCACACACACACACACACACACACACACACACACACACACACACACACACACACACACACACACACACACACACACACACACACACAGTTTTATGATAAAGTAACAGAAGTAAGACACGAGAGGGAGGGGTGGGTTGATTGCATCTTTTTGGACTGCAAGAAGGCCTTTGACACAGTTCCTCGCAAGAGATTAGTGCAGAAGCTAGAGGATCAGGCGCATATAACGGGAAGGGCACTGCAGTGGATCAGAGAATACCTGACAGGGAGGCAACAACGAGTCATGGTACGTGATGA